TTGCAGAGACCTCTCTGTCTGGAACATTTTTATCCTCATCCCCATGCGAATATCTCTCATCCTTTCAGAATTGGTTCCCATCACCCAAAATTCCTTTAGGCCCCTCCCCCTTTTCCTCAGCTGCCCTTTACCCTGAGCCTAGTTAGGTAAATGTCTTCCTCTGAATATGTCTTCATCTTAGCATTTTTATGATAAATTTTATTTTAATTACTTATTTATTATTTTTGTTAATCCTCACCTGAGAATATTTTCCCATTAATTTTTAGAGAGAGTGGAAGGGAGGGGGAGAGGCAGAGAGAGGGAAACATCGATGTGAAAGAGACACATTGATTGGCTGCCTCCCACAAGCACCCCAACCAGGGCTGGGGATTGAGCCAGCAACCGAGGCACATGCCCTTGACCAGAATCAAACCCGAGACTCTTCAGTCCTCAGGCCAATGCTCTATCCACTTAGCCAAACCAGCTAGGATTTTTTTTTTTAAGTTTAGTTTAGAAAGAGAGAGGTTGATTCTTCTATGTGCCCAGACTAGGGATCGAACCCACAATCTTGGCATACTGGGAAAATACTCTAACCAACTGAGCTACCTGGCCAGGGCTCATTAGGAATTTTAAACACTGACTTTCTCATTTCTTCCAATAGTCAGAAACTGTTTTTTATTTTGTTGTTGTTTTATTTTCTTAAAATATATTTTTATTGATTTTAAAGAGAGAGGGAGAGGGAGAAAGTGATAGAAACATCAATGGGAGATCGGCTGCCTCCCATATGCCCCCGGGGGGTGGACCCTGCAACCTGAGCATGTGCCCTGACCAGGAATTGAACTGGTGACCTTTTGATTCATGGGTCGATGCTCAACCACTGAGCGACCTTGGCTGGGCAGTCAGAAACTGTTCTTTTAATTTCTGGGCCTGGCACAATGAAAAATATCCACTGAATGAATGGCAGATGATTATGTTAGAGTTCTCAGTACTTATATTTTACCCAGAAAAACAGATTATCTTTACAAATAGAGAAACTAAGACAGAAAGGAGTATACCGATAGTAACATTAGCAGAACAAAAATTAATGAAAAAAATAACTTAGGTGAAATAATCCTTCACCTGTAGTAATTGAACAAATGAGCCTCTAATACAGTGGTTCTCAACGTTGGCTGCACATTAGAATCACCTGGGAATCTTTTAAAATCCTGATTTCTGGGCCTCATCCTCGGAAACTCTGTTTCTTTGTTACTAATGTTGTGGCCCAACCCCATAACAAAGAAACAGAATTTCCGGAGGATGAGGCCCAGAAATCAGGATTTTAAAAAAGATTTCCAGGTGATTCTAATGTGCAGCCAACGTTGAGAACCACTGCTCTAATAAATCATAACAAGTAAGTATTCTCTGAACACAAACATCAAGTTCCCAATTTTGTACCAGAGAGGGTTTAGCTTTTCTGATTTAAGAATTCAAAACCAGCCCTAAACAGTTTGGCTCAGTGGATGGAGCGTCGGCCTGCGGACTGAAAGGTCCCAGGTTCAATTCTGGTCAAGGGCATGTACCTTGGTTGCAGGCACATCCTCAGTAGGGGGTGTGCAGGAGGCAGCTGATGGATGTTTCTCTCTCATCGATGTTTCTAACTATCCCTCTCCCCTCCTCTCTGTAAAAAATCAATAAAATATATATTTTTTAAAAAACCTATTAGAGGTACATGCAAGAGTTTTCTTTCACTTATAAAAAGCCTCATTTAGCCAAAACCGGTCATAATTGGCTAATACTTTTGCACAGATTTAACTAGGTGGGTCCTTTTCAATCAGAAACTACCTGGGTTGCGGGCACATCCCCAGTGGGAGGTGTGCAGGAGGCAGCTAATCGATGTTGCTCTCTCATCGATATTTCTAACTCTCTATCTCTCTCCCTTCCTCTCTGTGAAAAATCAATAAAATATATTTAAAAAAAAAAAAATAAAAAAAAATAAATAAAAAGCCTCATTTATAGCTGGCCATGTCATAATTGGCTAATACTTTTGCACAGATTTAACTAGGTGGGTCCTTTCCAATCAGAAACCAGAAAAGGACCTAACGCTGCCAAGCTTAACCACCTGGGATGACAAACTTGTTCTTCTTGAATGTCTTATACTTCACACCATGCTTTGGGCCTCCCAAGTCACTGGTTCATGTTCCATCCTCATGCAAAGGCAGCAATATTGTAGTAAAAGAAGAATGGGTCCAAAGGCCAAAGTTCAGCTGGGGGCTAGTTCTTTATGCAAACAACCTCCCCTTCTATGGGGAAAGTTTGCTTCACTGCCCAACCAATTCCTATTATTGGCGAGAACTGGAGAGAAAAAGAGTGAGGAACTAATTACTGATTATAATTAAGGCTAATTCAAAAAAGCAGTAGTAGGAAATAAAAGGAAGCAAATAACTTCTGGTTAATGTTTAGAAATCCCCTAAGATATGGTATCTTTCTCTTGACAGTTCAAAAAGCTTCAGAGAAATAACATTCTTATGAAACAAGGATAAGATTAGCTTGTTACCTTTGGAAAAACTAATGCTGGCTTGAGTTTATACAAAGTATTAGGACCCAGAACTTTCTTAAGTTACTTAATGGGGAAAACCATGCATGAACCAGCCCAGGGCAAGCTGGAGTTCCTGAATTAGAGTCATGCCCATCGGAGAACAGATAGGAAATGACTACAGAAGAGAAAAACAAACACACACAAACAAAGAAAGGTCACGTCATATGGTTTCAAACCAAATAAACCCCCAACCCTAACCAAGGCAAAGGAGAATTACCTTTCCACAGAATACGCCAGCGTGTGGCTTTGATGTTTATTTCCCCATGGTTACCCTTGATGCTCATTTTAATCCCAAAATGAAAAGTGCTATTTTGTGACACAGCCAGCCTCTAGACAACTCTCAGCACTGTATCATACTGCTTCCACATAAAATGCTTCCTTTAGGGGATGAGGTCATTTCCTGGAATAATTCAATCTAACAGTTAATTTTGGTAAAAGCTGCATCATGAAGACAGCCTTGTCGTCAGAGACGTGGGTCTGATTCCTGCCCCTACTAATTAGCTGGGTTATTTATTCAAGTAAGTCATAATTTCTGAGTCTTCGTTTCCTCATCTTCAAAATACAACTAATAACTAGTTTGTAGGTCTCTGGTAAGAAGATGAGATAAATTATATAAAGGTGGGCACACTATACACACTAGGTGATAGCTCTTATTTACACGAGTTCCTACTAAATATAGATGCTGAGTTAGGCTTCGTGAAGATACAGGTGAATGTTCTAGCTGCAAATGGTAAAATTCCTAAATGTGCTGAATTTTCAAAATTCTTTTTATGCATCACTTCTTTTTGGCCCCTGAGAAACACAGGGACAAGCAATTGAAATAACTAAGATTTTGGAAGTACTTTACGGTTTATAAAATGTTGAAGGGCTGCCTTCGTGGGTTTGGCTCAGTGGATAGAGAGTCTGCCTGCGGGCTGGAGGGTCCCAGATTCGATTCTGTCAAGGGCATGTACCTTGGTTATGGGCTTGATCCCCAGTAGGAGGTGTGCAAATCAATGATTCTCTCAACATTGATGCTTCTCCTCTTTCCGCCGTCGGTCCGTGCAGCCATAATGGTGCGCATGGAGGTCCTGGCTGATGCCCTGAAGAGTATCAACAACGCCGAAAAGAGAGGCAAGCGCCAGGTTCTCGTCAGGCCGCGCTCCAAAGCCATCGCCCGGTTTCTGTGATGATGAAGCATGGTTACTTTGGCGAATTTGAAATTATTGATGACCACAGAGCTGGGAAAATTGTTGCGAACCTCACAGGCAGGTTGAACAAGTGTGGAGTAATCGGCCCCAGATTTGATGTGCAACTAAAAGATCTAGAAAAATGGCAGAACAACTTGCTTCCGTCCCGTCGATTTGGTTTCATTGTGCTGACAACCTCAGCGGGCATCATGGACCATGAAGAAGCAAGACGAAAACACACGGGAGGGAAAATCCTGGGGTTCTTTTTCTAGGGATGTGATACATATGTGGAAATAGAATGCCTCGAAGGACAAAAAAAAACAAAAAACAAATATTGATGCTTCTCTCTCTCCCTCTCCCTTCCTCTTGGTAAGAAATCAATAAAAAATAAAATAAACAAAACGTTTAAGGGCACGGAGTTAAGAATACCCAAGCACCCTAAACAGCCACTGAATAACTGACATAGATAAGAGAACCCAAGCACCCGAGCAAGCACCGGTGAGCTTTCCGCGGCCTCCTGGCCTCATTAAAGTGCCGCGGGAGCTGTTTCTGGTCGGGGCGCTCCCCGGCCTTTGACTCCTCGCTCGCCGATACCACCTGGCGGAGATTAGCACTTGGCCTCCACCCGCGCTGCGAGGGCCACTGCGGGCCATTTCTGGCCTCCGAACGTCGAGGGCCACTAAGTGGCCGCTAGTGTAGAGAGGCGCCCCTCTGCTCTTCCTCTGCGAACCCCATCCTCCCGGGCCGCCGTGTCCTCGCGGCGAGCGGAGCTCACCGGGCGGGCGTCGCGGCCGCCCGGCCACGCTTTTCCCGCCCTCGGCGTCCGCACGCCCCGCCTGCGACCTCGGGGGTCGCCGCGCGCTGGAGTCCGCAGGCTTTCGGGAGGCCCGCCCCCTTGCACTGATTGGGTAGGCTCCTCTTTTCCCCGCCCCCGAGGTTCTGGCTTCCTCGGTGATTGCACGGCGGCCGTGTCCATCCGCACCCTCAGGCCCCGCCCTCTCCTCCCCGCGCACCGAGACGCCCTCCGCCCGCGTTCGCCCCTCGCCGGGGATCCGCTCACCCATCCCCTTGGCCCGCGGGCATTGGGTGCACCTGACAGCGGCTCGAGCCTTATAGGGACAGGCGCCTCCTCCTGTTACAATCCCACCCACCGGGCCCCAGCTCTCGGACACCTCCCGGGCTTCACACTCCATCCCAGAGCTCCCCCCACCTCTCCTCGTCCCCGATTCCTCCGCCCCTCCTTCCAGCCACGGTTCAGACGCCCGGGGCGCTCCGCCGGAACGGGCGACGTGCTGGGGGGATGCGCTCCATGAAGGCTCTGCAGAAGGCGCTGAGCAGGGCCGGCAGTCACTGCTGGAGGGGAGACTGGGGTCACCTGAGCCGGAGCCCCCTCCTGGGCGGGGGCGTCCGGCACCACCTCAGTGAGGCCGCGGCGCAGGGCAGGGAGACGCCGCACAGCCACCAGCCGCAGCACCAGGCTCAGTAAGGCTTGCGCGACGGGTAGGGCACCGGCTCCCGCTCACTAGCTCCCAAGTCCCGTTCCTCGGGAGCGCAGCTCGTCTTCTTCCCTCTCCTCTCTTCGCTCACTCGCCGGCGATGCCTTTTCCTTTAGATTTGGGGTTTTGGGTCCGCCGCGCTCGGGCAGTAAAATGCCGTCCGCCCGGGAGAGCGTTTGGTCAGGTCGGTCCTCGGGATGGTGCCTGTCCCAGGTGCGTACCTCGCCGGGAACCTGGATGCGCGGCGTGTTTCTCGGTGCACGTGTCTGAGTGCGGGGCTGTGTGCGCACCACCCAGCCGCATCCTCCCTCTCCTCCTCGCGGGTATCTTAGGGGGTGCGTGGGGACGCGACAGCCTCCCTCCTGAGTCCTGCTGTACTGGGGTCTGTCGGTGTTTGTGCACTGGGGTCTGTCGGTGTGGGGGGTCTGTCAGTGTGGGGGGGCCTGTCAGTGTGGGGGTCTGTGTCTCGGCGCATTCTTGGCGTGTAATGTGATGCGCGTGTATTATTGGTGCGCAAGTACGTTGGTGCGTGTGTTGTTTGCGTAAGTGTTGGGTGTGTGCATTGCCAGGGCTCCCTAATCTGTGAATAAGGGTGTTTTTCCAATTGGTTGTTGAATGGGGAAAATCTTTATCATAGTGGCAGGATGGGAGGGGGGCATAAAACGCAGATTTCTGAAACTAAAGCCCATCAGATCTGCTATCTGTGCTTCCCTGGCTTACTGACCTAAAGGGCTCTCTCCCTCTCCCCTGGGGCTCTTATTGTGCCCTAACCCCCAATACCCAGGAACACTTGGTGGCTGAGCCTCTTTCCTCTGAGACACAGACAGAGGCAGGACAGGAAGTACTGCCCTCCCCAGAAGTGAATGTAGACACTGTCCAAGTCGCCCCTGCTCTATTATAGCAGGAGCAGGAAACGGACCATCTCCCCTGGCATTGACATCTACTGATGACTTTCAGAAAGATGTGCACATCGTAATTAGAGTAGCCAGACTCATAGCACTACCTCACTGCCACTGGAATCCCTGCTCTGACCAATATGGTATTATTTATGTGTTTATTATTAATAATTATTATGCTGTACTTTTCCATCGGCCTCTTCTCAAGGAGACATGGAACATATCAACTATAAAGAATAAGCCCTCTCTCTCCTGATCTACTCCCCCACTCAACTTTCCCCAAATAATTGCCCTGGGAGAAATGACGGTGGGATAGAGCCAAGGCCTAACCTCCTTTACCCTCACACTTTCTGTGGGGTGGGGAGCAAGAGGTGTCCCTGGTCCCTGCCCCCTTTCCTTACCCAGTGAGTCAGGTGGATCAGGGTGTTTTTAGAAGGCTTGATCCCCCTGCCCAGGCTGCCTGTGCTCCCAGGGACTCTTGTTAATGGCCTTGGACTGATGTTCCCTTGGGCAGAAGGAGCTGAGAGCACTGAAGGGGGAGGGGTTCTTGTGTTGGGGGAAAAGGGGGAGTAAAGAGAAAATACCATTATTCAGGTTATTGTTTGTTTGTTTTTTAATATTTAGCTTTATTGTTTTTATTATAAAAGAAAAACAAGATAAATAGAACATCAAGAAAAAAATTAAGTTTCCAATTAATTTTGTGATATATATCCATATATATCCTATCCTATATATGTATATATAAAATTTAACAAAAATAGGGCCTTGGCATTCATATTATTTAGTAACCTATCTTTTCCATTTAAACAGCTTTAAATATCATTGCATATGTGTATATATTGTTATTTTAATGGCTGCCATTTTGCCATTTTAAGATTCCATTGGATCAAGTATCATAATTTAGCCAATTTTCAGTTTAGTTACTACATATTCTTGTGCACTTGTTCAATTATTTCTTAGAATAAATTGCTAGAAGAGTTTGCTCTCCAGAGATTGATATGTTGTATAATCTTCTAGAGTTATTTTTTGCATATATCAGCAGATACATGTTAATATTATTTTCCCTTTTTTATGCAAATGGTGTCATACTATATACATTGTTCTACATTTTGCTTTCCCCCCTCAACAGTATGTTGTAGATCAATCCATATCTAGGTCAAAGGGTGTGCAATTTTGTTTGTTTGGTTTGGTTTGTTTTGTTAGTCCTTACCTGAGGACATTCTTCCCATCATTTCTTTCAGAGAATAGAAGGGGAGAGGGGGGAGAGAGATAGAAAGACGTCTATGTGAGAGAGACACATGGACTGCATGAGCCCCAACTGACCAGGGGGCAGGGAGCAAACCCAAACCGAGGTACGTGCCCTTGACGGGAATTGAACTCGAAATCCTTCAGTGCGCAAGCCGATGCTCGAACCACTGAGATACCGACCAGGGCAAGAGTGTGCAGTTTATTTAAGGCTTGAGACACATTCAGTAAGATGGCATTATCTCCTGTCTTCCTTCAGCTTCGGGCAGAAAGACCTGCCCTCAAAGTGTTCCTGTGTATCTTCCTTCTTGAGCTATTCCTAAGATATCTTTTTCCTCCTTCCTCTGTCACCACATGGATCCTCACTTCCCTATAGGCACCACGTTTATTGTGACAATTGGATTTCCTCAGAAACAGGAAAACTTCCCCCTCTCTTAGTATTTCTCCTAGAACAAAACACATATACACATGCCTAGTCTATGCCAAGCTTCTTGATTTTTAATATTGTTTTATTTTTAATGCATTGTTTCAACAGAGAATATATTCATATTCGCATATACCCTATTCAATAGATAACATGCATATTCATATAGCTAACAATTCAAAATTTACAAAAAGATATATAGTGGGAAATATCCCTCCCACCCCTTTTGCCAGCACCTGCTTCATCTAGGGAGAGATAAATCAGTCTTCCAGAAATATTTTGTGCCTGAAAAAGCAAATATATATACTTTTCCCTTTTAAACATAAATAGCACCATACTAAAAATAATGTTTTATAGCTTGCTTCCTTTAGTTACTATTACATCATTTTAAGTCAATATTTATGCATGCCCTCATTAGTTTTTTATTGATTTTAGAGAGGTAGGGGGAGAGAGAGAAAGACATCAATTTGTTGTTCCACTATTTATGCATTCACTGATTGATTCTTGTATGTGGCCTGAGCTGGGATCAAACCTGCAGCCATGGTGTATCAGAACGACTGAGCTACCTGGCCAGGGCTCTTTGTTTTCTTTTTCTTTTTTTAACACTGCACAATAGTCCATGATATAAATACACTATAGTTTACCTATCCAGTTCCCTATTGATACACATGTAGGTTGTTTTAGTCTTACCTATCAGCAACAATGCAGTGAATATGTTACTTTGTAGGTATGTGAGTACACCTACAGGATAAATGCTGGATAAATTGTTGGGTCAGAGGGTTTTTAAGGGTCTTAATCTCAAATTGCTGTCATATTTGGAATGATCTGATAAAATAATTCCTCTAAATCTGTTAACAATTAATAACATTTCTTGAAGACCAAGAAATCTTCAGTACCTGAAATCTTAAGTGTTATAAGCCAGCTAGAGAGATAATTTGGGGAACAGAGAACTTCCTACAAGTGTAACTAGGTATTCTTTTTGAAGACCCACTGTGTGCTAGGGACTTTGCTCAATGCTAGGAAAACAAAAATATGTAAAACACAAAGACCTAACAGTGGAACAAGAGAAATTCTTCTGTCAATAAGATGATGTGTTGTGTCATACCAGCAGTATAGCGGCATCTGGAGGTTGGGGAAGCCTTTAAAGAGTTAGTAACATTTGATTTGGACCTTGAAGGATGAGCAGGACTGTGCAACATGAAGGATACAGAGGTTATTCCATGCAGAAGTTTTAGCATAAGCAAAGGCCAGGAAGCCTGACAACACCTGGCCCAGTTGGGAGCCACCTGGCATAACCGGAGTGTGGGGCACAGGGAAGAATAGGAAAGGAATGTTGGCAGGTTCTCAGGAGCCTTCAATGCCATACCAAGGAATAATACCAAGAAGTAATAACTTATTTTGTAGGCAGTAGGGAGCTATCAAAGGTTTTCCGTAGTGAAATGACATTTGCGTTTTAGAAAGATGACCATGCATTGTGGAAGATGGGTTGGAAGGCAAGAAGAGAGTATAGTACCGTTAGGAGTTGGTGATAAGGAAGCATGATTTACCGAGCCTCTGCTTCGTGAAGACAGTTTTTGGAATTTATGGAATGTTATTTTAATGAAGCCTCACATCACCCATGTAAGGCAGACATTACTACCCTTATTTTATAGATGAGGAAGCCAGTTCAGCAGTATTAAATAACCTTACTATCTATATTAAAATCACACAACTATTAAGGTGCAAACTCTGGTTCTTTCTACTATACCATGCTGGCACAAGGGAAGAGAAGAAAAGAGGGTCGATTTGAGACATTATGGAGGTAAATTCATCCAACATTGTTTACCAACTGAACATGGACGGAATTATCCAAATGATCCAAATGGTTGCATGTTCCCAGCTTGGCACCTAGAGGAGTGGTAACACTATGAACCCAGATGGAAACACAAGAAGGAGGTGAAATTACATCAGGTTTGGACATGTTAAGTGTGTGGTACCTGTGGAACATCTAGTAATGGAAATGTCTAGAAGGCAGCTAGAAATAAAAGTCTAAAGGCCAGGGACAACAACAACAACAAAATGCTTGTGAATAAAATTTAAGACTTCTCGGGACAGATGTGAAAGTTGACATTATGGGGATAGATCAGATAGCTCAGGGAGGAGGCCTAGAATGAAGATACCTACTACTTATAAGCCCATGTTCCAGGAGGAGCAAGGATCAGTTCTCAGTTTCCTGCCCTCCTCCCCTGTCTCTGCCCCCAAACAGTGATGCGTCAGAGAGTGGCATGCTGTCTCGCTTGGGTGATCTGCTCTTCTACACTATTGCTGAGGGACAGGAACGAATCCCTATCCACAAGTTCACTACTGTAAGTTTCTCTACCTGCTCAGAACCCTAATCCCTTGGGATCTCTTACTGATTTTAGAGAAAGGGAACGAGAGAAACATTGATTTTGTTGTTTCACTTATTTAAACATTCATTGGTTGATTCTTGTATGTGCCCTGATCGGAAATCCAACCCACAACCTTGGCGTATGGGGACGATGCTCTAACCAACTGAATTATCTGGCAAGGCCCTTGGGATCTCTTGAAAGTGGGGAAAACAGGGTAGGACAAGTACAGGGCAGCTAATAATGGGTTGCTTCGTGAGGATGAAGAATAGTAGATGCCTAGGCTGATGAGACAATCCCATCCCTGCCCCAGGATGGGAAGATTAACTCCTCTGACTCAGCCCATCTTCTTGGTTTGGGACTTTGATCCAAGGGGTTCAGAAACCAGCTGCCTTGGTGAAAAAGGGTAGGAAACCCCCATTAGCCTTCAAAGCTGTTATGTTTCTTCTTCTTAGTTTGCAAACCCATTTGTTACACCGAATGTAGTAGTTGGGGTTAAGCTAATTGTTGTCCATTGGGAAAGATTTTTAGGATTGTATTACTGTCCTTGCGGCTGATCTTATTAGCTTCTTCTTTACCCTAAAGGCACTGAAGGCTACTGGACTGCAGACGTCTGATCCCCGGCTCCGGGACTGCATGAGCCAGATGCGCCGCATGGTTCGAGAGTCCAGCAGTGGCGGCCTCTTGGACCGAGATCTCTTCCAAAAGTGAGGGCCCCAGAAACAAGAGCACCGCTCTCAATTGTTCTTGGACATAGATGATAACAGCAGGGAGGGATCTTAGGGATTGGATAGTTCAGCCCCTCGTTTTATTTTATTATTACACGAGTTACACATGAGTACGCACATACTAGTATAAGAGTTCAAACAATATAGAAATACATTTTCTCCTTTCCCTGTCTCCCCAATCTCAGTTCCATTTCCCAGAAGTAAACATTATTAACAGATTAGTATCTTTTAGATAATGTCCTATGCCTTTACATACATATAAGAATATATGTAAATATGCTTATTTAGGATTTTTAAAATATAAAGATGACCTACTATGCATATTATTCGAGTATTTATTTTTCTTGGGCTATCTTTCCACATTATTCCAGCCCCTCATTTTAGAGGCAGAGAAACTCAAGACCCAGAAAGACAATGTGACGTGCCAAAGGTCACACAGTATTGGTCCCAAACCTGATGACCACTCACACCTTTATTCCAAATTTCCACGGCTCCAGAGTGAGTCACAGCTGCATCTCTCCAGCTCCCTAACCCACTCACGTCTGGAATCCAGGTGTGTGAGCAGCAACATTGTGCTCCTGACCCAGGCATTCCGAAAGAAGTTTGTCATTCCTGATTTTGAGGAGTTCACGGGCCATGTGGATCGCATCTTTGAGGATGCCGGAGAGTTCACTGGAGGCAAAGTGAGGGCCCGGGGACTAGGGGAGGGGCAAGGGCTCTGGGCCAGATATACCTTGCTTCTCTGAGATTTCCTGGGGCTGGGAATCCAGTGGATGAGGGGTGAGAAGCAGAACCTCTAAAAATGGAGACAAGGGCTTTATGTATTTCTATACATGCAATTTCTAAAGCAAGTGAGGGGATTTGAAGTTTTTATGGGGACATTTGGCATAAGGACTCAATAGAACTTTGAAAGAGACTTATAGGATAATTGAGCCTAAGAACCAAAAAGGGAAGCTGATCCCAGAATATTCTTCTTTTTACTTTTCATGGACTTTACTGCCTTCTCTATAGGAGTGGAGTTACAGAAAGAGAAGGTCTCCTAGGACTTAAGTCTTGGGTGTCTCTGAAAACAACAGGCAGGAGAGAACTCTGTTGCCCTAGAGAAAACAGAATTTTAGCCTTTATCTAAAAGATTCTCCTGACCCTGAACCTCAGCAGCTCTGTTCACCTTCTTCACATCCCTATCTCCATTCTGTCCATTTTCTCTACCCACTCATGACCAGGTGGCAGCCTACATCCCTCAGCTGGCCAAGTCAAATCCAGACCTGTGGGGCGTCTCCCTGTGTACTGTGGATGGTCAGCGGTGAGATGCTGGGTGAGAGAGGGGAAGCAGGGCCCGGGTGCAGAACATAGGCCGACCTCTCATGGCAGCTGTCTACCTCCAGGCACTCCGTGGGCCACACAAAGATCCCCTTCTGCCTGCAATCCTGCGTCAAGCCCCTCACCTATGCCATCTCTGTAAGCACCCTAGGCACTGACTACGTGCACACGTTTGTGGGCAAGGAGCCCAGTGGCCTGCGCTACAACAAGCTCTCCCTCAACGAGGAAGGTGAGCACTGCCAGGGCTCAGACCAGACTCATAAATGCTCCCCTCAAATCCCCACCTCACCCTCTTTTGTTTATTTCTCTGCCCTTCCTGATTAGCTCTGTCATTCCATCCTCCCCAGCAAAGAAATCTTTCTAGTCTAGCCTGCAGAGCGGGCAGACTGTAAACAAGGTTTTTTCTCAGTGGCTGATAAGACACTGGGTGGTTTGTATTTCCTCAGGAATCCCCCATAACCCCATGGTCAATGCTGGCGCCATTGTTGTGAGCTCCCTGATCAAGGTCAGTGCCACCCTAGCCTTCTCCTAACCCCCTGTTCCTATATCCCTCATATCTGTCCAGCTCTCCAGGGAGACTGGTGGGGCTTTGATTCCTTTGAGGATCCCCAGGAGGCAGTGAGGGCACATATGAGGATGTCAGTAAAAGGAACTCTACCCCTGCCCCCACCCACGAGTCAGGAACCCAGAGCTTCCTGGCCCTTAGAGAAGAGAGCAGGTCCTGACCCCTGCCTAGGACCAAGGGCCAAATGCCAGACACAGGGGGAGGACAACACTATTAGGTGCTGATTGGCCACTTCTGGGTGAGGGACACACAGAAGGAAGGGTGAATGGCCAGGCCAGGGTAGCTATTCACGTCACCTGGAACTATGAGTTGGCCTTGAGCAAAGGTGTCAGGCTGGCTTGTCAGCTGTAGGTCTCCCAGGGCTTGAGTAACAACCTGAGAGTAATGTGGGCAGCAATGCTCTGGAGCCAATCACAGTTCCTCCTGGGGAAGGTGGTGTTAGGAGCCCTTCCTCCAGGGACTTAGGTGTCAGAGTTCCTGTGATGTTGACACTAGTTGACATGTACGGGAAGTAATGAGGGTGGGAGGAGACCAGGCTCCCTCGAGAGCTGGGCAGATGCTCTGGGACAGCTCTATCTACAGCTCTGTATCTGGGGCCTGCCTCATTCCATTCCCATGTAAGCAGACCCTATTGGACTTGATTTTCAGCTAAAATCTTTAGCTTTATTTCAATTATCAACATAATTGATAAACTTGAATATTATAATATATGCAACACACACCCTCATCCCATTCCTGTCACTCCAGTCTTGGAGATGGCTATGGGAGTCCGGGAAAGGATAGAGTGAGGATCCAGCGTGGGGTGTAAGGAATGGGGATGGGATCAGGAATAGGGGTGGGGTTTGGGGACAGGATTGGAACCAGGAAAATGAAAGTGGGAGTCTGTGACGAGGGGCAGAATTGAGAATGGAAGTGGGAGTGTGACTCCGGGATGAGTGAGGCTCGTAGATAGGGTGAGGTTATTTGTATTCATTACTTGATAATAAAATCTTAGCGATTTTTAAAAAATATATTTTATTGATTTTTACAGAGAGGGAGGGAGAGAGATAGAGAGTTAGAAACATCGATGAGAGAGAAACATAGATCAGCTGCCTCCTGCACATCTCCTACTGGGGATGTGCCCGCAACCCGGGTACATGCCCTTGACCGGAATCGAACCTGGGACCTTTCAGTCCGCAGGCCGACGCTCTAGCCACTGAGCCAAACCGGTTTCGGCCGATTTTGTTTTTAAGGTCACTAAATATACATGGATACTAAAAAGTCTTAGCTGTTTATTGGTGTGTTTTTTTAATAAAAAAGAAAAAAAAAAGGTGATTGTAAAATGTAACACATTCCCAGAGGCAAACTAGTCTAACGCTTTAACGGGGTCCTTCTGATCCTCCTGTCACTTTCCTAGGTTTGGAACACTGATATCTCTCTCTCTTTCTCTCTCTCTCTCTGCAGATGGACTGTAACAAAGCAGAGAAGTTTGATTTTGTAAGTTTCCTTGCTACTCAGCCCCTGGCTGCTTTTCTCCGTGGCATGTTGTCCTCTCCAGCTGCCCCAGTACCTGGCTCTAACCCTCTGGTAGTGCACCAGCCCATACTAGAAACCTTATTTCCAGAACTGTGGGGATCTGCTGGCCTCAGAGAAGAAAGGCACCTGAAGTCCTTGCTGGGAAAAAGACTGAGGAGTTCAGAGAGTTAGTAGGGTCCTCACTCATGTGGTGCCTCCCCTGTCTCTTTTTCTCTTCTAGGTATTGCAATATCTGAACAAAATGGCTGGAAATGAATTCGTGGGTTTCAGCAATGCCACGTAAGACCTTGTTCACAGGATTGGCTGAATACATTGCCTGTGTGTGTGTGTGTGTGTGTGTGTGTGTGTGTGTGTGTGTGTGTAAATGAGAGAGAGCGAGAGCGAGAGCGAGAGCGAGAGAGAGAGAGAGAGAATATGAGAGAATATATGAGAGAATATATGAGAATAGAACCATAGGAGGAAGAAATCCCAAGGGAACTTTGGCCTCCCAGCTTCCTCTGAGCCCCTTCATTGGCATTTATTTACTTTATAAAAGAACTTGCTCTATTTCTATTTAGTACTTAATGAGGGAGGTGATGTAAGGATTTCTTGCCAAGCCTCTCAAAGCCATGTTTTTCTAGACTAGATGACTAAACAATTTGGGGTGTTTTGTTTTTTACACTTTATAATAAAGCTCTGCCCGGTGCTTGCTGGGGTCCAGGAGTTTGGCAGCATTACTGAGAATTTATAAAGGGGTTGATTTAATTTAACATGTGCAATGTAGTTCTGTCTCTCTCAGGGAAGGTATTTTTTCCCCTTCTCCTCACACCCACCCCTCAAACATCAAGTACTAAATTGGGTGTTTGCTTCAGATTCCAGTCAGAGAAGGAAACGGGGGATCGGAATTATGCCATCGGCTATTATCTAAAGGAAAAGAAGGTAATTGGGAGAGCAAGTCCCTGGGAATTCTGTGGCTGGCGGAAGGGCAGTTCGGGCTGGGGACTTGGGCTGAGATCCTGGCCGTGTGAAAAGACGACTGATGGCCTGAAGAGGATGCTCTCCCCTCCCCTCTCCTTCCTTGCAGTGCTTCCCTAAGGGGGTGGACATGATGGCTGCCCTGGATCTCTACTTCCAGGTAAACACTGCCGCTCAACTCAGGGTCACGGGAACAGGGCAGGCTATATTTCTTGCTCTGACCCAAAGGGATGCTCCTCCGGAAACACCTGGGAACTTGTAGAAAGATCAGGATGCCAAGAACGTTGCTCTGCAACCAAGAGTGTTCAGGTCCACACCACACCCTCACCTCTGCCTTGTCTCCATAGCTGTGCTCCGTGGAGGTAACCTGTGAATCAGGCAGTGTCATGGCAGCCACCCTGGCCAATGGTGGGATCTGCCCCATCACAGGAGAGAGCGTGCTGAGCGCTGAAGCAGTGCGCAACACCCTCAGCCTCATGCACTCCTGCGGCATGTATGACTTCTCAGGCCAGTTTGCCTTCCACGTAAGTGCTTCTGGCCCTTCCATCCATGTGCCACAAGCCCATAGCCAGGCAGAGAGGACACTGAGTCTCTGAAGGTGGAGAGGTGGAAGCTTGTACCTGCCTCCCATTCACTAACTTCCAGCCAGGCAATTAGGCCGAGAATCCTTAGGGGTTTGCCAAACACATAAAGTCCCTCAAACACAAACACATGTTGTGACCAATCTTCTGTGGCCCTTCACATGGCTGGTGCTTCTCTAGACTTCAGGTTAGATGTCACCTCCAGAGAGACGCTTTTCTGACCACTTTTAGCCTCGGGTGGTGCCCCTCCCATTTCTCTATCACATCTTCCTACTTCTTTTCTTCTGTGTTATCATAAGCTGTGATTATTTTTGTCTATTTGTCTACCTATTTACTGTCTATCTCCTATCATCAGAATGAGAGGTTTTGTCCTAGTTCTAGCATCAGTCACGGAGTAGATACCCAATAAATATTTCCTTACTGAAGCCATGAATTTAAAGGGGGGTAGGGAAGGACAGGAGTAGGAAAAGCTAATTAACAAGCCAAAAGGTTGAGGTGGGTGTGGCCTTGCCCACATAGTCATTTGGGATAAACTATTAACCCAGACTTGGGACACCTCTAGCTCATCCTCAGTTTCAATTTTGTCCCCAAGGTGGGCCTGCCAGCCAAGTCAGCTGTGTCAGGAGCCATCCTCCTGGTGGTACCCAATGTCATGGGAATGATGTGTCTCTCACCTCCACTGGACAAGCTGGGGAACAGCCACAGGGGCATCAGTTTCTGCCAGGTAAGTTACTTTGCACATAATACCCAATATTCTTGAATGAGTAACTAAAGCAATTTTTACCTCCTACTAAGAGCACGGAGTAAGTAAATAATCTCTCTGGCTTACAATTTTAGAAGTTGGTGTCTCTCTTCAATTTCCACAACTATGACAACCTGAGACACTGTGCTCGAAAGTTAGACCCACGGCGTGAAGGGGGAGAAGTAAGGGTAAGAAAAACCTCAGGTGGCGTCTAAAATATTTCAGAATACCCTTGGCTAAGCATCCAGGGAGGAGCGTCATGGGGCGGAGCTGGGCATGGGTGGGCTCAAAGTCACAGTTAATCTCAAGTGGGTATGATCTGTTTTCCAGAACAAGACTGTGGTAAACCTGTTATTTGCTGCCTATAGTGGAGATGTCTCAGCTCTTCGAAGGTACCTCTGTGACCAAATAAACACAACAAAATACTCCTGGTCAGAGATCTCATAAGGAGTTATCATAGCAAAAGAGTTAAGTGCTTCAGCTTTAGAGTCAGATACAATGGACACAGTGCACTTAAATGAAAATTTTTTCAAAGTACAGTGCCTACTATGTGATAAGACCTTAATTAATGGTAGCCACTGTTAGGATTAACCTGGGTGTTAAGAGCAGAGGTAGTAGGTAAGGACCCTGCCTTCAGTGGATTACAACATCGGCAAATATGTACTGGGTAGCTACCACAGATAAGCAGTGATGTTTCTGGAACCACCACACTCCCATTTCTCTGACGTGGGAGTAACAGTCTCATCTGGGTAGGGAACACATTGTGCGAGGCCTACGATTTTGGCATAAGCTCTGGGACCTATCCAGTCTGACCCCACTTCAGAAAGGACATGAGTGATTCTAAGCTGATACGGGTTACTCCAGCTGCTTTCCACTACCCTCAGGTTTGCCTTGTCAGCCATGGACATGGAACAGAAAGACTATGACTCCCGCACAGCCCTGCATGTTGCTGCAGCTGAAGGTATCTGAAGGTTAAATAAGAGGTTAAATAAGTAGATCGGAAGACCCTTCCTTTTCTACCAAGAGTACCCCCCACCCAATTGGGTGTGCCCTCAGGGTGGTTTTGTCCAGACACCCTTCAGTTTGCAGGCTGTTATTGGGTACTGCAGGGAACAAAATGGGAAGAGGCCTTTCCCCCTCCTTTATTGGTTCAGAACTCCAGCTGCCAAGGGTCTGCACCATTGTTGTCACCAAAAGGTTCAGGATCTGTACCCTCTCATTTTCCTTCTGCCCATATTCCTAGGACACATAGAAGTTGTTAAATTTCTGATTGAGGCTTGCAAAGTGAATCCTTTTGTCAAGGACAGGTGAGTAGGATTAAGCTAAAAGGGGGTGTGGGTAGCCACCACTGTTATGTATAGAACCAGGGCACTCTCTCTGTCTTCTCTGTTCCTCTCAGGTGGGGCAACATTCCCCTGGACGATGCTGTGCAGTTCAATCACCTGGAGGTAGTGAAACTGCTTCAAGATTACCAGGACTCCTACACACCATATGAGAACCAGGCTGAAGCAGCAGCGGAGGCTCTGTCTAAAGAGAACTTAGAGAGCATGGTGTGAGCATGGAGCACACATGGTCCCTGCTCAAGAAAAAGCACGAACTGGCCACACATTTAACCCATAACCACCAAACATGCTATGGAGAGCTGCAGTCCTTCAGTGCAGACCAAGACAGGCCAGTGCTTTCTGTGAGAGGCAAAATACCCCATTTCCCTTGGCAGAGTATAGAGAAGTGCCTAGGTGGATACCTGCAGTAGAGCTATCCACGGAGACTGTGGGCTTCTTCAAGGTATAGCCTAATTGCCTAGCCCACTCAGAATCTTTCCAGGTCTTCACCCAGGTGCCCTCTTCCTCTCCCTGAAGAAACCATCATGAGAGAGAAAGAGACACTTGGGTGAAGGGGCTCTAGCCACCATGCACATGTCTATATAGAGCTATGCACCTGGTTTTAGTTGTCTGGAGAGATATGTCCCCCTTGGCAAGGAAACAGAAATTTTATAGACAGAGAAAGTATTTTGTGCTTAAATAAACTTTAATTACACAAATGATTATTTTTGCTAAACCCAGTCCTCTTTCTCCCCTGGAGGTATTCAGTTGCATCACCATCATAAAGACAGAATAAGATGGAGCCACAGGGTCAAACAGAAATAATGTATTTCACATAGATGCTCATCCCACCAGGTTTTCCTCAACCCCTAATACTGCTTTAGGTTAAGTGTATTCTGCCAAGGTTGTGGTGGGAGGGTAAGGGTTTGGATCTGAGCAGGCCCCAAAAATGTGCAAGCCCTCAGGTCTCTCTCCTCCCTCTGGAAGTTCCAACTGTAGCAGAAATGAAGATGGAACTTCTCAAGAATAAAGTTTCCAGCACGAATGCCCTTGATATCCCCCAAGTGTCTCTTTCCCTTTGGTAGTGGTTATAACTGGCCCGTGAGTACAAGGGATTGTCCAGGTGTCGGAGGTATGCAGGTTAAGGCAGATGGACTCATGGTGAGGATAGCTGCAGTTGTGTGGGGCTGAGAGTCCAGCTTTGAGGTACTGAGGAAGGAGGGCTCTGTTCTCCCTCTGACAGACAGTAAAGCATTTCCCGAGGGAGCCAGGGCCCAGACTCCGTATGTGCTTTAGAGAAAGGGCCAAGTCACTGAACCACTCCTCCAGCCAGAGGTAGGAAGGATTTCCTGTGGAGAGACTCAGTAGAACACCAAGAACAAACAGAAGTTAACATGGGTAAAGGGAGAGAAAGGTACCATAGTGATGAATACATCCAAACAAAGCTGAAAGGTAAGACCCCAGGACTGAATACAGTCTGAGAAGGGCCTGGGCACAGGAAGACGGAGGGACCCAAGGAAGCGAGTCCAGGAAAAGACACTCATGGTAGCCTAGGAAAACTGGCAGTAGCCTAGCTTCCGCAGGTAGGGGAGAGGGAAATGACTAAGACGCTGCACAGAGCACCTGAACTGGGGAGCTAGAGGTTGCTTGAGGCAACGTTAAAAGGCTTCAGACACTCTCAGGAGGACGCTGGCCAAGCATGTGATTAGGAACTCCAGTGATGGACGTACTAGAGGCCCTTGGGCACCTCAAGCCCCGAATGGGTCAGCAATTCTCCATCCCAAAGGGCAAAGGCAGGTACCACTGGACCCCGGAAATCTGTCCGTAGCGTGTGGACCACAGCCACCCGGCTCACATCCACCAAGCTCAGCTTCTGGGCCTCGTACTCCAGCAGCAGCCCCACCTTGTCTGGATGCCCGATGCCCTCAATAGGGGCTTTCTCGTTGGCCAACATGGTGTGCCACTTGCGCTGGGCATAGGTGAACACCCAGGAACGGACGTCCACTCCGATGCAGCTGTCCCGAGAAATGTCCACATCGGCCACCCCGACCCGGAACTGCTGGGAGCGCTTCACCGTCACCTCCCAGTAGTGCCTGCCGCTGGTGACCGCGGTGTCCGCCAGCACCACCGCCCACTCCCGGAAGCGCTCCGCGTTCAGGGCCAGCTGGGTGGGCTCCAACCCCACCATGCCGTATTTGACACCTGTGTCCCCTTTGAAGAGTGCCAGGCTGCTGTGGGCGGTTTTCTCTTCCAGTTTGAAACTGACGCCTGCGGGCAGAGCAAAGACACTGGGTGATGGCAGGGGCTCCCGCCCTGGAACGAGAGCTAGAGACAGAGACGCTCTGAAGCAGGCCGGCATGGGGTCACGGAGAGGCAGGGAAGCGTCAGCATGCGAGCGGGCCAGGGAGCGGGGTGCTTTACATAGGCAGCCCCCGGAGCCAAAAAGCTCGGGCTGGCAAAGCCCTAGGTTTTCAAGAACCCAGACAGTGTCCTAGGTGTGGAAGCGCAACACCAACGCAGGTGGGGCGTGGACAAGCTCTGGGAGTAGGAGACGGAAACCGTTTTGAGGTAAAAGAGAGTAAAAGGAGGTAACCCTACCTCTGCGGGCTTCTGCGGCGACAGCCCCCAATCGTTTGGCTGCCCAGCGGCAGAGGTAAGGCGAACGTGCAAAGGGCAGCGCCATCTTGCGCCCCGGAAGAACACGGTACAACTGCCGACCTGGGCCCCTCCTTCGGCCCGCCTGCTTCCGCTCGCACTCGGGGCGCGAGAAGCTGTCGCGCAGGGTGATGACGTAAGAGAGCCAGCGCCCGGGAGGGAGCCGCCATTTTAGTGAGCCAGCGGCGGTGGTTACAGTTTATGGGTTTTTTCTGTGGGAAGGAGTGCTGCTCACGTTTTAACTGAATAGGACGTTTAGAGAGATGATGTAGCAAGATGGTTACAAGTGATTGTAGCATTAAACAGTAACTGGATTCGAACCCGGCTCCGCTGTAAGGCTTTAGACAAATCACTTCTCCGAGCTCTAGTGTTCTCACTTTTTTAATAAAAATATCCAGCCGACAGAGCCAGCGCTGGCCCACGGCCCGGGCGCCATGAGCGGCCTCTTCGGGCGCGCCGCGCTGAGGGAGCTGTTGTGCGGCCCGCGGGCCCGGGGCCCCGGCCTGCTCGTGCGCCCCAGCTCCGGGGAGCCCTCCTGGGCCCGGGAGCGGACCCTGGTGACCGTGAAGCCGGACGGGGTGCGGCGACGGCTGGTGGGCGAGGTGATCCGGCGCTTTGAGAGGCGGGGCTTCCGGCTGGTGGGGATGAAGATGCTGCAGGCGCCGGAGAGCGTGCTGGCCCAGCACTACGAGCGCCATCGCGAGGAGCCCTTCTACGCGGCCCTCCTCGGCCACATGCGCTCGGGCCCCGTGGTGGCCATGGTCTGGGAAGGCCCGAGCGTGGTCCGCGCCTCCAGGGCCATGGTCGGGCTCACCGACGGGGCCGAGGCCGCCCCCGGCACCATCCGAGGAGACTTCAGCCTCCACATCCGAAGGAACGTCGTCCACGCCAGCGACTCGGTGGAGGGGGCCCGGAGGGAGATCCAGCTGTGGTTCCGGAGCAGCGAGCTGGTGGACTGGGCGGACGAGGGCCACCGCGGCAGCCTCGACCCCGCCTGAGCCGCGGCTGCCCCGCCTCCGCCCGGACCCGCGACCTCGGTCCGCGAGGACTCGCGCCCGCCCTGCCCGCCCTGCCCGCCCGCCCCACTCCGCCTCCCCGCTCCCCTCCTGCTCGGCCCAGAGCAGGTGGGCCAACCTTATGTGCCCTTTGTACCTAAACCACCGAGAGCTGGGACCACATCCTTTCCGAGGCAACAGGCCAGACCGATGTTGGAGTCTCCCCCAAAGTGGGTGGTTTAACCTCCCCCCCCCCCCAAGGGGAGGCATTAAACCTCACTGTGCTGTGCAACAACAGCAAAGCATCTGGCTAACAGACCAGAGGGAAAATTAACTGAGAGAACAGCAGCCCGTGGGTACGCGGCAGTTGTCCTAATTAATATTAAACACATAAATACTGCAAATGTTGGTTTTGTATTTTCAGAGTTGGGAATGGAGGGTTTGACTCAATATTTGTTTTTCCCAACTTAACCAAAAACATCACTATTTTGTTTGTTTTTTGTTAATCCTCACCAGAGGATATTTTTTCCATTGATTTTTTTAGAGAGTGGAAGGGAAGCAGGGAGGGGAGGGAGAGAGAGAGAGAGAAACACATGGATTGGTTGCCTCTGGGCCTGCAACCCAGGCATGTTCCCTTGATGGGGAATTGTGGAGCCCGCTGAGTCACACCAGCCAGTGTGGGTCTTTCCGTCTGCTTTAATGCAGTGTCCACACTGCAGTCAGAGTGATATTTTTTTTAAAAATATATTTTATTGTTTTTTTACAGAGAGGAAGGGAGAAAGAGAGGGATACAGAGTTAGAAACATCAATTCAGCTGCCTCTTGCACGCCCCCTACTGGGGATGTGCCTGCAACCAAGGTACATGCCCTTGACCGGAATCGAACCTGGGACCCTTCAGTCTGCAGGCCAACGCTCTACCCTCTGAGCCAAACCAGTTAGGCCAGAGTGATATTTTTTCAATATGTTTTATTGATTTCAGAGAGAGGAAGGGAGATGAGAGAGAGAAAGAAACATCAATGATGAAAGAGAATCATTAATTGACTGCTTCCTGCACGCCCCCTATTGGGGATTGAGCCCTTAACCCAGGCAGGTGCCCCTGACCAAAATCAAACCCGGGACCTTTCAGTCCGCAGGCTGATGCTCTATCCACTGAGCCAAACCAGCCAGGGCCAGAGTGATATTTCTAAATCACAAATTTGATTGTACCACACCCCTTCTTAAATCTTTTAATGTGCCTGCATCAAACTCCCTTGCAAACGCCATGGTCATAAGGCTTTACATGATATTACTGCTGCCTACGTTCATTTTTTTTCTCATAAAACACAGTTCCTCTTTCAAAGGTCTGCAGCAAGCCTGTCAAACTCGCGGCCTGCGGGTTGCATGCCTCGTTTATTTGGCCCTTGTTAGCCTGGTCTACACTCGCGGTCGAACGACCCTTTCACGGGGGTCGCCTAAGACCATCCTGCATATCAGATATTTACATTACGATTCATAACAGTAGCAACATTACAGTTATGAAGTAGCAACGAAAATAATTTTATGTAGCAACATTACAGTTATGAAGTAGCAACGAAAATAATTTTATGGTTGGGTCACAACATGAGGAACTGTATTTAAAGGGCCAGAAGGTTGAGAACCACTGGTCTAGTGGATAGATGAGAATATTGGCAGGGGCAATAGGATGCACTAAGTGCCATGATTGAAGTGATCATAGGATGCTCAGTAAGCAAAGGAGAAGCATCTGGTTTCTTGTGTATGAGGGAGTGTTGGGGAGAGGCTTCCCAGAAGTCGTAGCTATAGCTTTAAAGCAAAAGTGGTTAAGCAAGTGAAGGAACCCAGCCTGCTGAAGATGTCAGCTAGTCTTCCCCAACATACATACTCTTGAGTATCATCTATTCTGGTGGAGCCCCCTGTCAACTAGTGAGGGGCTCTCAAAAACTCTGCCCTATACTTTCCTGAGTCCAGCCAGATCTATATACCCAACAGCCTATTGGACATTTCTACCTGGCTGTCCCCGAGTCACCTCAATCTTTTTTCCCCCCAATCTTATTGATTTTATCATTATGCATATT